CATTGTTTATATGAGGATGTGCATTTAGTTTTGTAACTAGCTCATCAAGATTGTAACTTGCTTAACTAAATGAATTGTGGGGTTCAGTCCCTGAGCCCATTATATGCCTCTGTAACCCTTTCCACTATCGCACACAAGATGGGTATGGGGTGCATAATAAATTAACTAAAATAACTACACTAGAATAGTTTTTGAATTTCACATTTCACATTATAATAATAATATATTATATTTTATTTACAAGAAGGTACAATAGGTTGGCGAGATTACATTAGAGTGATATTTTTACATTCTTGCAAAGCCACTAACATGCATAGCGTTTTGGGCAAGTGTATAATCTAACATATTAAGTTAGGGGGAAAAAGTACATTCTAGCAAGGTTTTATATCAACAATATAAATTGACAGAGGTGATTACACTGGTAGAGATGAAGTTCTTAATTAGTCTTAAGTACTAATATTTGGGAAGTGGGAAGTACATACACTATATTAACGTAACCAAACGTAATAAAACCAAATCTAACCAAACCTTAACCTAATGTAACTTTAACCTAACTTAGCATTGGATCAAGAATAGATAATAGCACTAATTATATAGTCGTTCTCAATGTATTCCCGTGCGAGTATTTCCTTCCTGGGGACAGGTTGTGTGGCCACAAGTGCGCAGGTTCCATTCCTCTGGGCTTATGTATCAGGATGCAGACCATGAGACACAATACTGAAGATATGTTGACCAAACCACACATCAGAAGATGGAGAAACGACGACGTTTCGGTCCGTCCTGGACCATTATCACATACGACTTGATGATGGTCCATGACGGACCGAAACGTCGTCGTTTTTACATCTTCTGTTGTGTGGTTTGGTCTTCGTATGTATCGACTTTCTGAACACTATGCAACATAAACATGTAGATCTACCACTTACGGGCTATTCATGCCCGTGCCACCTCTTGGGTGGTTTAATCTTCATCAATCAATCAAATACAGAACATTGGGTCCATCCATGTGACTAACTGCGACACAGGATGGGTATATAGTTCATTATAAACTAAATAAACTATAACTGGAAGATTGTGAGGTTCAGGATAACTAATAATGGTTATGAACACAACCAAAAATCGCGATAACATGATGTTGGTGATATCATGTAAACAAAAATCGGACATTTGAAACACGCACCGCTCACCATACTAGCTGCATTGGCTATTACAATTTAACGCTATGAAATTAGATTATGAATTCTACAACTTATTAAATTAAGAAATATAGAATTTTTAATAAACACAAAAAAAAAAGATACGCGACAAAGGAGCAGTTATCGTGGCAGCAAAGGAAGAGACACGGACGGACCCACCCACAAAGGGACGATGCAGCAGCCGAAATAGTCTGGTCCTCACCTGGCAAACTTGCGCAAATTCGCTCAGTCAGGCAAACTCGTGCTAATCTCAGCGGCCGAGTTTATGGGATACTATTGAGCACCAATGCAGGAAAGCGACTTAGGGGAAGAACAGCAGAAGATGACGCTTACACCAAGAGACAGAGAGTCGTAGCGCTGCTTGGTATTGATTGATTGACTTTTCGAGAACCTCCAAAGTTTTTTGGTGTCTTGTAACCCGTGGTGGAATAAAATATTAATGGTGCTGTATGTTTTTATCGAGTCTACAAACAAATTTACCTTTGTTATCGCTGTCTTGCAGTCAATTAATTCAATTATCTCTTCTGTTGGCAAAGACATGAGAAAGTCCAGAGGAAAAAGAAGCTAATTTCTTCGATGATTTTGATTTTTCCAAAATGAAAATTCACTTTGTATTTTCCAGTGTCTATTCCATGGCTATTTGAAAATCAAATCAAGCAATTTAGCCCTAAAATATACAAAATAATAAATATATTACATACGAGTACGAATAGTTATCAACACTTTATTTGAACGGAAATCAATCTTTTGGTAATAACTGCAAATGAGTTAGTGAAGAGTGCGCTTCATAAATAAATCCAATTCATTAAATTGGAAGCTTTGAAGCTAAAATAGATTAGGATGTGTGTAGGTGGGATGGGGGGAAGGAAATCCCGCGTCAATCATCCCAACCTGACGTCATCAGGGGTGCAGATGGACTACCCGCTCAACAGCCGACCATAAGCCGCGAGGCTGGCAAGCCTCTGCTCTTCCATTTTCTCAAGCTTTAATAATAGAGAGTGTAACGTGTTGGGGAAGTTTGCACGGGTAACTTATCTATTATTACATTGTAATGGTCCGTACCAGATCATAGTTTCCCAGTATAGGGTCATGTTGAAGAATTAAAAAAAAAAGGCAGTGGCTCTAAGAGATAAGCTTAAGAAGTTTTTTGTTTAGTTCATTTATTTATTTATTTACTTATATGCAAGAAGGTACATTGGGTTTATGAGAGTACATAGCATGTTTATACAATCTTGTAAAGCCACTAGCACGCATAGCGTATCGGGCAGATTCATTTGTTATGCATGTAATTTATATATATATATATATATATATATATATATATATATATATATATATATATATATATATATATATATATATATATATATATATATATATATGACAATGTCAGACCACGGAGGAAGAATGAAACAGGAAATTTCCTTAAGTACTTTCGTATATTAAATACATCTTCAGAAGGTGTATTTAATATACGAAAGTACTTAAGGAAATTTCCTGTTTCATTCTTCCTCCGTGGTCTGACATTGTCAGACCATTGATATATATATATATATATATATATATATATATATATATATATATATGTCGTACCTAGTAGCCAGAACTCACTTTTTGGCCTACTATTCAAGGCCCGATTTGCCTAATAAGCCAAGTTTTCCTGAATTAATATATTTTTTCTAATTTTTTTCTTATGAAATGATAAAGCTACCCATTTCATTATGTATGAGGTCAATTTTTTTTTATTGGAGTTAAAATTAACGTAGATATATGACCGAACCTAACCAACCCTACCTAACCTAACCTAACCTATCTTTATAGGTTAGGTTTGGTTAGGTAGCCGAAAAAGTTAGGTTAGGTTAGGTTAGGTAGGTTAGGTAGTCGAAAAACAATTAATTCATGAAAACTTGGCTTATTAAGCAAATCGGGCCTTGAATAGTAGGCCAAAAAGTGAGTTCTGGCTACTAGGTACGACATATATATATATATATACAAGAGTTCTTACATTCTTGTGCAGCCACTAGCACGCATAGCGTTTCGGGCAAATCCTTAATCCTAATTTTCTCACACACATCCCCCAGGAAGCAGCCCGTAGCTGCTGTCTAACTACCAGGTACCTATTTACTGCTAGGTGAACAGGAGCATCAGGGTGAAAGAAACTCTGCCCATTTATTTCCGCCCCCGCCGTGGATCGAACCCGGATCTTTAGGACTACGAACCCCGAGCGCTGTTCACTTAGCCGACAGATTACTACGTAATCACAACAATTTATTTAAACCTGAAACTGAACTAAACCTGAAGCTGAACTATCCCAATCTCTTTGGCACAACCACAGTGCTGCTTCAGGATAATAGGATTGGCAGAAGAACAGCCCGAGGGGGTATGGGGTGCATAATAAAGAAAAAATTCCAATACATGATCACCACAAAAAAATTCTCAGGGGGAATTCATAGGCTAAATAAAGATAAACTAGCTAGCAATGGCAGCATCCGCTAAATGGAACACAGTTGGAAACCGAGCAACGAAATGAGCCACAGAGACATTCGAAAATATTTTTTTCAGTGAACATAGTGAAGACGTGGATGCAGACATCCTATATAGTTTCAGATATGAACGAGCCCATTAAGCTCATGTACACTAGTTGATTGGCAGTTTAGAGGAGACCAAAGAGCCGAAGCTCATACCCCGCAAGCACAACTTGGTGAGTGTAATGTGACTGTAATTGCCAGAATTAATCAAGAGCTACAGACAGTAAGTCACAATATTGCTCTAACAATTAGACACCCAAATGGGAGCTAGGATACTCTCTTCTACATTGTAATTGGGAATTCCCAGAATTCCCAGTTTTAGACTAAATGGCATGTGAGAGCTTTGTAACTATTGTATTTACTCGGGATATAAGAACAAATATATCCTCATACTCTTGCCAAAGTTTACTAGTGAACCAGGCAAACGTGAAGACTAGACTCATCCCATGTAGGACTAACCATCCTGCAAGACGATAATTGAAATTATAACTAGTTCTTGACCTGTATATTCTGTGGTCCCTCATACAAGGTAGAATCACATTTGATCTGTACCTTAAGCCTGTTAATGAATATATAAAATATAAAAAGTAGGTCATCCTAACTCACCACTATACTGTATAGGTTATTATAAATTAATTAGTTACAATTCACCGTTATAATTTGAATGTAATTAATTTATGTGCTATATTCTTCTTGTAAATAAGAATTACATAAATAATAATTAAATTGTTAATAATAAGCACGAATCGTACTACAGTATATGTGAAATATATGTGATCATTAGAATTTTCAGTGCTGCTCAAGTGACTAATACGTCTATGTCAAATACAGTACAATTTCTTAAAGATTACTGCATGTATGAGTAGCCATCCTGTGAGATAGGGATATTAGATAAACTTATAGCTAGTTTTCTTTATCTACAATGTGTAATCTTTCATATAGAATAGGGAAATAGGGCAATAGCACATTCCTGTGTATACCTAAGCCTATTAATGATAATTAAAAAAAAGTCATAATTTTATAACTGACAAAAGCTTATATTCTTGACAAACTCGTCTCTTAGACCATTGAATTCCTTATACAAATACAAAAATTAAGTTTTGATGCATAAATGTATTTTGATAATTATTTTCTCTACTGATAAATATATATAAAATATATTGTTGTTGAGAAGTAACAGCTATTTTATTACGAGAGTCGTCACGAGTAAAAAAATATATATATATATATCTTGCGCGATGCTCTTATTACAATCCTGTCTTCCTGAGCGGCTCCTGAATGACAACATTACAGTGTCTATTATCTCGGCTAATCGAGTTTGACTGTTGCAGAGAGTGGGTGTTGAACTTGTACGTGACGAAAATAGCTGACTGGAGCTTCATCTTCCCTCACCGGATTTGTTCATACCAAGGTAAGGGAAAGTTAGAGTGTGAGAGACATGTCGCCTGGTGCGTGAAGCGGGTCCTCCTCCCCGGGAACACTGGGTGAGGGCAGCTCCGTCAAACGCCCACTTGGCACCAGACCAACATACGAAATATGACGCTATATACACACAGACATACAGTTGGATGTCGCCAATATTGATGACGAACTAGGAGCTCACATATATATATTTCTCCTCTGATAAGATCACGCAATGACATAATAGATCTAAATAATGAAGACTGTAATTGCTGGACATTTTTTTTTTCTCTTGGGCAACACATGGCAGAGGTGGGCACACCCATGTCTTATGTCCGGTGTTTGATTGGCTGATTTGTCTAATTAGTTATGTCGTTATAATGTCAAAGGTCATTGGCATTGGCCAGTACTGTGTGGCATGATTTTGTCTATACAGTACTTTAATTAAGCTATTTACCATCCAAATTGGATAATAATTTCTCCTAGAGTTCAGCATAATATTTTTCCAATCTAAAGTAAACAGACATAACCTAAAATGAACTAGTTATTGTGTAGAAAACTAGTACAAAATGTGGCTTACTGGGGCTCCAGTGCTACATATTGGTACCAATGGTCGCATAGCTGCAAAAAATAATATAATTTCTAGAGTAAGGGTTGATATTTTCTTTCCAATTAGTACCAGTGGGGTAAAGTTGCTGGTATTTGGCCACTTAATGTAAGCAAATAGTGTTCAAACAGGATTTAAAACAATCAAAATCTTAACAGAAAACCTCATTGGAATGAATTGCCAGATGAGACATCTAATAAATGACACCACTCATGTCTATAGAAGTAATGCTGATGTAGCTGGATATAAAATGAGATAAGGTGAGACATCAGCCATTTGTATAGGAATTTATCCAGTTCAGTATACCTGTACTTGTGTATATTATGATTTATCCATATTATTTCCCCCCAGCTTCATTTCAGTAACATTAAGCAATACTTATATAATAGCATATTTGATTCCTAGATGTTCAGCCCCTGGGAAGTCTAAACCAGTATCCCAAGATACTACACTACAGCATTCCATTAGGCTACCTTACCTTGAGGTTACCTTGATGAATTTTCGGGGCTAAGCGTCCCCTGGTCTGGACTAAGCGTCCCCTGGTCTGGACTAAGCGTCCCCTGGTCCTCTAAGCTGGACTGGTCGACCAGGCTGTTGGACATGGCTGCTTGCAGCCTAATGAATGAGTCACAGCCTGGTTGATCAGGTATCCTTTGGAGGTGCTTGTCAAGTTCTCTCTTAAACACTGTGATGGGTCGGACAGTTATGCCCCTTATGTGTAGGGTTGGACATATAAGCTGGATGGCAGTGTGTCCAGCTCCAGGGCTTTACACATTGCCAACCCAAGAGGCACATTAGCACTCCAGCAGGTCCAGACACTGGCATCCTAGGAGACTGGATACCAACATTAGGTACCAAATGTTTGATGGCTTATTTCATGGGAACCACAGAGCCTTGGGCTCTGGTGTTACTGGTCATGGTGTTTTCATATTGTTTGGTGGCGTTATGTACTGTACTTGTTTTTGCTCCTTCCCTGCTCTTCTGTTCTCACTACTGTGTAGCACTTAAGGCTACACAATGCTAACAATTATCCCAGAAAAATAGTCTGTAAAATGCTTACTCACTACCAGATGGCAGCCTAAGTGAACTGGAAATTTGGCCAGTGAGGTACCCATTCACGAGCTGACCAGGAGACATTGTACCAGCTCTCATAGAGGAGGAGGAAACAGGCCAGGGGTGTGAGGAGCTATTGAATGGGACACCAGAAAGAGGAATGTCATAAAATATAATGCTGTATTTTTGTGTCCCTCATTAGTTTCCCGATACTACAGTATCTCGCCACGAAGTCTTAGAAGAGGAAGCCAGCTTTTCAGAAAACCATCCTGAAAAGAAAACAGAAAAGGATGGCCAGGGCTGACCTGGGGATCTCCAGTGCTACAATATCATGTTGACATTTCATGGATTATCGCGTATTAATTCTTTTGCAATTAAGTGTTTTTTTCTATCATGCCTCCAAACTAAATAGTTTTTAAAATAGAACCTCATTTATAATTCTGTACTCCAGTTTGTTTGCATCAGTACAGCAATACACTCCATCTATATTAATATTTTAATGTATACAAAATGTTCATAAACTTTTTTTCCTCCTTTTAACACCCTTTAAACCTCTACTGATTTCATTTTGTTGTTATAAAGTTCCATTTCACCAGCTTGATAAACCCTATCACTTTGAACAACTTTGAGGTTACCTTGAGGTGGTTTCGGGGCTTAGTGTCCCCGCGGCCCAATCTGTTTCATCCCATTTGAAGTCATTATTAGGGAGCAATTTTCTCCATTCTTATGCCCTTCAATTTTTCTGTAATCAGATAAAAATAAATTGTTGTACAGTATTATTGTATGAAAAGTACTTAAGTCAATCATTAAAGGAATATAATCATGCTAATGCATGTTTTTTTTCCAAACAGGGAAAAACAAAAGTGAAGTGAATTGCTACATAATAGGACTTTGAAACCAAGACTATTGATCAAATAGAAAATGAATATAATTTAACACGGTACTGTACTATGAAATAATCAAAAGTGGCTCAATAATAAACAAAATTATTTGAAATAGACAGTACAGGTACTTAGATACATTAATTCACTAACAAATGTTGATAGCAACATTATAAACCTTGAAATAGCCGAGTGAATTAAAAGGCTGAAAGACTTGGCTGAAAACGCTGTACGAGAGGTTTATAGACTGGCAGGAGTATATATGCAACACACTACACGGCTCAGGTAAGTACTACTGTACTGTATATTGTATCTTACAACCTGTTGTAAGACTCACCTGTGTTTGTCATGTCATGTTCTGTGGTCAATGAGATATTTTAATCTTGGATTATAGTAAAGTTGATTATTAGAACACAGGCCATGAAAAATGATAATCCTAAAAAGTATCTATATAATTCATCAGTCAGTTGAAATGTGTGTGGGCAGAGAGCTGCAATATAGTACCAAACAGTACAGTATTGTGAATTAGATATTTTAGGCCTATGAAATATGAAACATTCTAGTCACCAGCTGTTTATCAGCCACTCTCATCTCCATCTGCAGTAGGCTTGTTTCTAATGGCTATAATGTATGGAGGAAAGTGTGTGTGTGTGTGTGTTTGGGTGTGGTTGTCTCTCGAGTTTGAGAGAAAATCGAGTTCTCTCTCGAACACTGTGAGGGGTCGGACAGTTATGTATTTTATGTGCAAACCAAATTGTTGCCTTTCTCCTTAATGTGCAAATTTAGTGTTCATCTGCAAGTACTTTTATGAAACTAGGTACAGTGTACATGTATGTGAAGAATTAGTAGTAATTGGGTGCATGTAGGTACAGAATACATCTCCATACACTACATAGAATTTGTATAATAACCTAATGTAGCAAGATATGTATCTCATTCATCATAATGAACTTGATAAATATGACAATACTCATGACCCTCTCCCCCAGCCAAAACTTGAATCCTCCCTGGATTGGTGGTTATTCATACATTGGCTGAACACCATCAATGGCTTTCCCATGTTTGGTGGGTCATTCTTTGGGATCTGTTGACCATTAAGCTCTGATTTTAATAAGGTAGCATATTACTGAATATTTGGAATGTGTATTTATGGTGGCAGTATGTGGCCACAGTTTATTACTCATAATTCACCTTTCTAGGTGACTACTCCTTGTGTTATTATATAGCTTAAGGACTGTACATAAGCTTCAAACCAAAACAGAATAAATAAAATAAAACATGTGCCCTAATATTTGACAATCAAAAGAATTCTTTGTTTTTTAATGAACATCATGCACAAATCTGTGGAAAACTAAATGTTTAATATTTATTCTAGCAGTTTTGTATCAGATGCTTTAATGTTTTAACATGCTCTTACAGTATATTCATAGGAGTTTCTTGCACTTTTCCTGATTTTATTCTATCCACTGGTGCTGGTTCTACAGTATGGTATAGTACTTCTTACTGGCCAGTGGATGGGTAATGGCAACTGACTGGACAACAGACAGCTATAGTTTACTGCTCCAGGGTATCAATCTAGGGCTCAGTAACACACTATTTCCCCAGATTGAGACATTTTCTCCTAGGCTAATGCTGTGGTGCTCTTGTGGCGAAGGCATGGCCCGTTTGGTTATGTCTTCTTCAGACTTTTTGCAAGTGGCGGTTGTTTGTCAATACGATATATATAGACCCTTAGGAGTGCCTTTATTTTGCATTTCATTAACTCTAGATCCCTTCTTACATTGTATGTTCTTTTATTGCAAATAAATATCCCAATTGTCATCTGTGAGCTTACCCCCAGGAATGTGCATTTGGAAAGTGCATACAGTATGCAGCTTTAATCCACTTTTCTCTGACATGAGTATGACTGATCTTGGGGCCTTATAATTTTAAGGTGCAAATGGGTGATGGCCTAATGTTTTCTTAGCCACATCCCGAGGCCTCATCTCGGATGCATATCCATAAGGCAACTTTTCTTTGTTTGGCCTCATTTCATTATCGAAGATTATGGAATATACTGTACCTGATCTCCTTGATCATTATTACCCTAATAATCATTACCTGTTTATTAGATACAAAAAAGAGCACTAAACTTGACCAACCAGAAAGTCAGATCAGCCAAAAGAAACTATGAATGAAAACTTGGCCAAAACAAAGAAAGATCCAAGATCATTCTATGCCTATATAAGAGGTAAAACCAAAACAATGGACTCGGTAGGACCCTTAGTTGATGATACTAACCAAACAATAATGGATGATAAATAGGCACTAAATTAATATTTTACATCGGTGTTCAAACTAGAAAGGTTAGATGACATCCCAGCACCCACACAAATGTTTGAAGGAGGGGAGGAGAATGAATTTAGGGATATACCCATAACATGCACAATAATTAGAAAGAAAATTGACAAATTAAAAGACTCAAAAGCCCCAGGTGAGGATGGAATCCAATCCAAAGTCTTAAAGGAACTAGCAGAAGAACTATGTCTACTGCTGAAACTACTTTTCACAAAATCTCTGGACCAAGGGGTAGTCCTCCCTAGATTGGAAATATGTAAATGTCGCCCATATTTTAAAGAAAGGTAGAAAGAGCTCAGCAGAAAACTGCTGTACTGGCAAATCAGCTTGACATCACACATCTGCAGGCTCAGGGAGGAAATCATTCACCATCTTTCAGTGAACTGTTTTGTACACTCGACACAAAATGGGTTAAAAACAAATCCTGTCTTACAAACTTGCTCACATTTTTGGAAATGGTAATCCAGTTGTCAGATAAAGGCCATCCGGTGGATGTAGTATACAGTGTAGTTGGATTTTGCTAAAGCCTTTGATAGGGTACCATTTGAAAGATTGGCAAAGAAATTACAGGCCCATGGAATAAATTGTAAAATATTAGAATGGATAAAACAATAGTTGAAGGAAAGAAAACAAAGCATCATACTAATGGAAATGAATCGGAATGGAGACATGTGATAAGTGGGGTATCATGGGGGTCCATTTTTGGGGTGTACCTTTTTTGTCATTTACATCAATGACATAGATGAGAATATTACAAAGCACATTGTCAAATTTGCAGATGACACAAAGATTTATGATAAAATGGGAAATGATAATGATATTAAAGCCTTACAGAGAGATCTACATGAAATCTTCAAATGGTCAGAAGACTGGCAAATGCTTTTTAATATCGACAAATGCAAGACCATGCATGTGGGGCGTAACAACCCACGCCACGACTGCTATATTAATAGCATTACACTACAACAGGACCTTAGACTCAAAATTCACCACTCGCCAAAAGTTGCACAACAGGTGGGAGCAGCAATCAGAAAAGCTAACCAAACCTTTGGAATAATCAATCGTGCTTTTGACTTTAAGGAAAAGAAGGTAATGATTCTACTTTATAGATTTATGGTGCACCCCCTATTTGAATTACTGTATCCAAGCATGGAGACCTAATTTTCAAAAGGACATAGCTGCTCTGGAGAAAATGCAACATTGGCAACAAAAATAATTCCAGAGCTAAATCATCTCTCGTATCAGGAACGGTTGAGGGCCTCAGGGCTAACAACACTGCAAACCAGGCATGACAGGGTGGATCTCATTAAGCTTTTAACCCCTGCACTGCACACCTGTTTTTTGGCAAAAATTTCATGGTGCAGTTGTTAAGGACATTTTTGTTTTTATATATGTTCATCTAATGTTAATGTCAAAATGTTTCCAAACACAATCATTTTCAATTCAAATCACAAAGAGTGATGAAAATTGAAATCATTAAACAAGTGATGAAAACATTAAAAAACTTAAAATATGGCCTAATTTAAAAAAAAAATCATGCAACCCTCAGAGCGCCTCAACCCTTTGTGCAGTGCAGTTGCTAAATCCTGGACAAGTTAGAGGATGTTGCTCTGGACAATTTCTTCGAAAGGTCAGATGTACACAAATAAGAAGCAATGCTTTCAAGCTCAACAAGCCACAATGTAGGACTAAGAACAGGAGATGCTTTTTCACTCAAAGGGTTATAAACCCATGTAACTGTCTATCCACCAATGCTGTAAATGCCAAAACTGTGTTAGTTTTAAAATCTACTTGGAAAAAAATAAAGGCGAATGGGGTGACATTCGACAAGCCGCCAACTTCCTGTCCTCGTCGAGGCCACTAGGGTTAGTGGCCCTCTGGTAAATCAGGTATTATCACCTCGGGTTTCATTTCCTCCATATATTGTTACTCCATGGTTAAAACCCAAATTATTATTCTATGTATGGTGGCATCTTTGCAAGGATGTGATTTATAAGGAAACTTTGGTTAGAAATAGAGCAATAAGTGAAATTAAACAACCCTTTTTAAAGTGCCTTTAAAGCTCCATTTTCCCCACCCATTAATCCTGGTCTGATAATAGGATAGGCTGGGCATAAGGTGTAGTTGTCAGGTTTCCTGACCTGGTGATCCAGTAGGACTGCTACCTGGTGGCAGCCAGGGTAATTGTTGGAGTGTTAATTGTTCATCACACATTTGGTGATCCTTGATTTGTCCAGAGTAGTTTGCAGGGAATGTTGAAAGATTTGAAAGAATTCTGTGTGTAGTACCAAGATATGAGATTTCTCTTCCCCATTAATTACTTTATCTATTTCTAAGAACACATGAAAGCTTGCAATTACTGTATTTGTGTGTGTGGGGGTAAGGTCATAGCCTACCTTGTGACCTTGCGATGATTTTGGGGCTTAAGGTCCCTGTGGCCTGGTCCTCGACCAGGCCTCCTTTTTGTTACACACTCCTAGGAAGCAGCTGTCAAACTCCCAGGTACCTATTTACTGCTTGGTAACAGGGGCATCAGGGTGAAAGAAATGATGCCCATTTGTTTCCGCCTCCACAGGGAATCGAACCCGGAACCTCAGGACTACGAATCAGAATCGCTGTCCACTCGGCGGTCACTTAATCAGCTCAGCTGAAATCAGGACATAGATGAAAAATTTTCTGACAGACAGATGAAGGCAATAATCGAAGACAATATATCTGACTGGAGGAGTGTTACTAGTAGAGTACCACAGGGCTCAGTTCTTGTACCAATAATGTTCATCTTCTACGTAAACGATCTACATACCAGAAGAAATACAAAATTATATGAACATGCTTGCAGATAAGATACTGGGGAAGATTGGAGATGCAGACGATTGTAATGCCCTTCAAATTGATCTAGATAAAATAAGAACTAGGAGCGACAAGTGGCAAATGGAATTCAGTGTGAA